AAAAAAAAAAAAGAAAAAGAAAAACAACCCAAATATTTCAGAAGTGGAGCAAAAGATCAAGGATATTGTAAGAGACTGGAGAAGAATCCAAATTGCATCATGGGCTATAAAAGAAAAGGGTTAGGTTTAGCTAAATCTATCTGAAGTAACTAGACTTCTGGGTCATTTTCATCAGGAACTGTATTTCATCTCAGAAAAGGCTATGGATATTCCTAAAAAATAAAGAGCACCTTGCTGAAGTCTATGATTGGTTTTTAATTTCAGAAAAAGATAAACCTATTTCAGCTTTCCATTTGGGCAAGGTCCAAGCTCCCACTGCATGAACAATTAGTTTGTTTTTTGTTTTGTATTTTAATTACAATATAATGGGGGGGGAGGAAAGAGTGTGGGATTTGCATGACCTATATAGACATGTTTTAGGCTTCTTTTAAAGTTTGCCAACTTCCTTTCAAAAATAGAACTATAATTCATAATAAAAGAGAGACCAAAGGCTTTGTTCCTCCTATGGCCTAGTTCTACTTGTCTATGTTGACTGCCAAAATCTTGGACAGGATGTTACATACAGATTAGAAAAGCTTCTGCCAACTACTAAAAATTTAGGCACCATGGATTTATTGCAAATTGGAGTTCTGCCATCAATAAACATACCGAGACTCGTTTATGGAAATTTCATTTACTTCTTCAAAAAACATAATACATTACACTCCTTATCAGACTGTGTGGGGAAAAAATGCACCTTTCAGATTATCACATTTTTGCCCTCAATTAAATACTGCATCATTGAGACGCTATAGGGCAGGAATTTGATTACATACCTTCCCATTGAAGACGAGGGGCTGCAACAAATATACCTGCTGACATGCTTTGCTTTTTCAAAGCAGCTTTCTAGCACTGGCTAAGTTCACAGTTTTATAGTAAAATGCTTATTATTTGGCTGGTATTCCAACCCAATGACTTGGGAACACCTAACAAAACAAAGCAGACACGAGAAATGTAATATGAAAGCTGTGGACAAAATAAATGCTAACTGGAATAACAAAAAGGCCAGTAATGTTCATGCAACCACAAATAACAACACATTCAAAAGCACACACACTGAAGAACATTAAAATACTTTATCATTCCCTTCTAAAGCTGCAAGACTCCCAGAGAAAAGCTTGATTCACATCTCAAAATATTGTTCTGGCAGGAGGCATCCATCATTCCATCGCTAAAGGATGAAACCTCAGAGATTATTGATTCTGTATTATTTGAATTGACAAGAGCACCTCCCAATTCTTTTAATTCATGAATCAATTCTATGGATAATAATATGTTTATTTCATTTTTCTTTAAATAAAATATCAACAATTTAATATAAGGGTAGATTTTAAAAAGCATATACGGCGCATCTAGCCATGCAGTATGTGGGACCACAAACACGCCTGAAGCACCACATACCATGCAGTCAGGTGTTTTCCATGCTGCAAAGGTGCGCTGCCCATGCATGTGCTGCTCCGGATTCTTTTTCCATGGGTTTTTTTGACCCTGTATATCCAGGGTTTAAAAAAAAAAACCCACAGAAAAAATAACCCAGAGCAGCACACACATGGGCAGCATGCGTTGATGAAAAGCAGAGCCAGGCCACCCAAAGCCATGCTGTGGCTGCCAGCCAGGCTCCACCCGGAAGAATCACTGCTCCTGCAGTCCCAGGAGATCCCCAGGACCTGAGGTAAGGCTGCTGGGGTCAGCACAATGCTGGCCCCAGCCTTCCCTACTGCCCCTGGGGTAACTTGCTGCATCCCAAAGTGTGCGTGACATGGGCATTCCCCAGGGACAATTAGCTGCGGTGCAAAGTGTGCCACTGCTACTTGTCTCCAGGGAATCAAATGTCTGCACTCGTCTGGACCAAGCCATAGAGTCTAAGTATTAACATTAGTTTTCACATAAGAAAGCCTTTTGATGGAGTAGATTCATAGATTCATAGATTAAGGGTCGGAAGGGACCTAGTAGATCTTCTAGCCCGACCCC